TTTTTTCAGATATAAGTCCGTCAATGTTTGTATTGACGCGAGAGAGAAGAACTCCTAAGCGCAATCGTGGCAGCAGGTATCTCTGTGTGTGCTAAATCGGGAATGTGCTTTTTACAAAATCTATTTGGCGTGAAAATGAATCCGATGTATAAATATAACACCCTACCCGGGATAAATTCGGATTCTCTTAACTGAGCGCCGGGGGCGTTTAGACACTAGCTGATCAACATTTTAGAGGCGCAAAATTGTATTTAAGGAGGAGGAAAATGTAAACGCGGACTGGTCTCAAATGTAGATTAATAAAACCAATCCCCGTCTCTCGGGGCAGAGCGTGAAGGGTTTTTTTGCTTATTGTGCATTAGCCTTTGCTACCCCGCGGGATCTTTCTCTAGGTAGATGGATCAGACGCGCGTTTCTCACTCCTTTGCCTATGAAGTCCCTTTTCTAGGCTAGGATATGTTCCAGCAAACGGCTGTTTGTAACTTGCACGATCCCTGCCCAAGGTCTCCCTGCAGGAATTCACCCCATCGGTTTCCTCCGCGGAACTAGAAAGAAAACCCAAAGGGAGGCGGGAGATTTCGCTGTGTTAGTTTCACTCCCAAGATATTGACAAGGGGCCCGATCCGGTTGCCTCCAATGGCAAAAATCCCATTGCCTTGAAGGGTGCAGGATTGGGCCCTAGCAGCCCCGGACTCGCTTACATGTGCGTGCCCCCCCTCCCCCCGTTTAGGCATTGGGAGGCAGAGATTTTAGCTCTCCCACTATTTCACCTCTCCTGCCCCCACTCCCAATCTGGACTGTAACTCCTGGGCAGACTGTAACTGGCTGCAGCCTGGGTAAACTGAGCAAGGGGTGGTGACCATCTGAACCCATCTCACTATTCCTATGGGCATGGGTTCACAGCGGCACAGCCCTGCCTACAGTGAAGCTGCCCTGGCTGCGGTGGGCTCCTGCAGCCCCTCGCCCCCGGCATACCTGGGAAGGGGATGCTGCTTTCCTTTAGGGGCCTCTCTGCTCTGGCAGCAGCTCCAGGCAGGCTCCTTGCAGGGGCTGACTTCTCCAGGTGAATCACAGTTTGTGGGTTTAGAGACTAAGGGGTGTGTGTGTGTCAGGGATTGCATTAATAAATAAAGGATACAGTGAGTTAGGAGCAGACCTTTGCCCCCCAATCTCACTTTATTAAAAGTGGAGCAATTTCATCATGGTGTGAAACTGCTGAATTCAGCAATATTTAACCCCCCGCCCCTAAACCCTCTATATAGGAGTGATGTCCCAAGCCCCCGGGACCGGCAGGAGCCCAGGGAAGCACTTGTGAGTGGTGCTGGGGGTGGGGGGAGAAATGCCTGATAAAGGGGTCCCAGGGACTGCTCCTTGCAGTGGAAGTGGAGGGTGATTGCCTCCTCCACACTCAGCCTGCCCCGGTGGCTTTCTCAGTTGGTTTCTGATCCGCGGTGGAAAGCTGGCTACAGCAGATGAGTCAG